GCGCCGCTACTCACACGCTTTTCGTATCAATTGTTTATATTGTTGGAATTCCTCTGTCGGCGTACCTCTTAGACAAGAAGTCCTTCTGGGCGTCGAAGCCGGAGCCGCGGGACTTCTTTGATCTCCTGGAGTGCCTCCCCAAGGTGTGTACTACTACCACTACTACTCCTGCTACTCACCAGACCGGCACTCGCATCGAAAGAGAGTGACGCTAGCAATTGCTAACGTGTCTCACGTGTGGTGTTTGGGTGGCTTTAGGTGTGGTCGCAAGGGAAAAAGGTGATGGACGTGGTAAACAACTTCCCCACGGCAAAGACCAGCAAGGGTACAGTCACCACCGTCTCGTGTCATGCGCTGTGTGTGTTGTGCGTTTAACGAAGGGATTCGTCGGCATGCAGGCAAGGGCCGGCTCTGGCTTCGCATAGCGCTGAAGGAAAAGAATCTGAAGACACTTCTCACAAAACTGACCCAAGACCAGAGCCTGCTTCGGTACGCACTCTCGTTGCCTCTTTCCCTTCCTCGGTCGCCATTGATGATTCACCTGACACCTGCCTCGTACGCCGTTTGTTGTTGTTGTTTGAATCTCTCGCAGCAAGTTCTATGAGGACGATGCTCTCTTGCGTAATAACGACCAGCTGGAGATGTTTCTGGGCATCCTCTCGCCTCTCGAGGTCCTCAACGTGCCCGTAACCTTCCGGTGCGTGCGCGTGTTGTGTCGTGTGGGTGGTGTGGTGTCGTCGTGTCGTGTGTCGTGTGTCCTGCGACTGAAGTGGGTTCTTCACTCAGGGACTTGGACTTTGATGCGCTTCCGGAGGATCTCTCCTACTACGAGAAGGGCGGCAAGGCCAAGGGCAAGGAGGAGAACGGTGCCGGCGAGGACCTCATCAACTTTGGCGACGCGCCCTCGCCGACCAGTCCTCCGCCGGCTGCCGCCGCCGCCGCGCCGCTGCTCACGCGTCGACACAACCCCCCTCGCTGCTCGCACCGACGCCGGCCCACCAGGCCGCTGGTGTTGTCGACACCAACAATGGTACCGACGAGGCCGAACTCGGCGAGGCCGACAAGCAGCGGGAGAAGGAGCGCAAGCGGGAGATGCTGATCGAGCGGCTCACGGCCGAGCTCGACATCTTCAAGAAGACACTCGAGATCAAGGACGAGGAGGCGCTCAAGCTCAAGCGCGACGCCGAGGTCAAGGCCGAGGAGGTCCAGAGCCTCTACAAGATCATGCAGGACTGGCAGGCCGAGCGCGAGCGCGAAGACAGCCAACGCGCAGCTGCGCAGGCCTCGATAGCTGCTGCGCCACCGCCGGCGGCTGCGGCCCCAGCGGAGAGCGAGGCCGAGTGGAAGCGCAAGCTGGAGAAGAAGGACAAGGAGCTCGAGGCGGTGTGGCAGGAGAACGTGAAGATGCGCCAGGGCTGGGACGACGAGAAGGCGGCCCTGCAGCAACGGATCGCTGCGGCCGAGGGCGCCCAGGCCGAGGCCGTCGCGCGGTTGGCCGCCGTCGAGGCCGAGCTCGCAGCCGAGCGCGAGCGATGCAAGGAAATGGAGCAGCGGCTGCGTGACGCCGAGGCCGCGGCCATTGCGTCGGTCAACGCGGAGGCGGCCCAGCAGGATCTGCAGCGCGGCCACGAGGCGGTGGTCCAGGACAAGGAGCGCGAGATTGAGCGGCTCCGGGCCGAGATCGAGCAGCGCCAGCGCAGTGTCGACGAAAAAGACGAACAGATCGAGCGCGCACGGGTCGAGGCCGACGAGCGGGTCGCACAGGCCGTTGAGGAGGCCCGCGCGCAGGCCGAGGCCGCGCTCCGGCAGGGCCAGGGCGAGCGGGAGAAGGCGCTGGCCGAGGAGTGGGCCGAGAAGGAGCGTAAGCTGCGCGACGAGCTCGACGACAGGGAGCGCGCGCTGCAGGAGCTGCGCGAGGCGGGCGAGGCCGAACGCGGCCGGACGGCGCAGGAGGCGAGCGAGAGGGCGGTGGCCGAGGAGCGCGAGAGGTGGGAGCGCGAGCTCCAACAGAAGGAAGACGAGTGGCGCGCGCGGGACGAAGAGCGCACTCGCGACCTCGAGTGGGCGCGCAAGGCCAAGGACCACATCGAAGAACAGACCAAGGTGTGTACGGTGTGTGGCGTGCGAGACATGAGATGGATTGATGACGGTGTGTGTCGTGTGTGTCGTGTGTGGCTTCGACAGGTGATGGGCGAGCAGACGCTGAAGCAGCTAGAGGAGATTTCGATGCGCATGGAGCAGAAGGAGCAGGAGCTCAACGATCTGATTTCGGCGCGGGAGCGGCTCGAAGCCGCGCTGGCGGCCGGCGAGGAGGAGTTGGCCGAGGCCCGCCAGGCGCAGGCCAAGGCCGACGACGAGCTAGCCAAGCTGCGCGCGGCGCTCGAGGAGCGCGGGCTCGAGTTCAAGAGCCTCAAGCAGGACTACAAGACCGCGCGGCTCGACGTCGACGAGCGCGACAAGACCATCGAGTCGCTCACGCGCGAGCGCGACGGCCGCGACCAGGAGATCGCCCGTCTGACGGCCGAGCTCGAGGCCCGCAATGAGCGCATCGACACGCTCAACAAGTTCGTCGAGGAGTCGCACAGCGCAGCGTCGAGCGCCGAGGGCGACATCGTGCACACGCTCAACGAGGAGATTAGGCGCAAGGACGAGGAGCGCGAGCGCGAGCGCCTGGAGGCCAAGGAGCGCGAGCGGCAGAGCGAGGAGCGCCGGCGCGAGGAGCGCGAGAAGTGGAGCGGCGACCTGCAGGCGGCGCAGGAGACCGCCGAGCAGCTGCGCGACGAGCTGCGGGCCAAGCAGGAGGAGCTTGATGGCGAGGCGGGGGCCAGGGCGGGGGCCGAGGAGAAAGCGACCAAGCTGGAGGCCCGGCTCGAGCAGCGCGAGCGCGAGCTGCTCGCCGAGGCGGCGCGTGAGCGGGACGAGGCCGAGGCCCAGCGCGTCGAGCGCGAGCAGTCGTGGACGCTGGCGCGCGATCAGCTCCAGCGCATGGCCGAGGAGCGCGCGGCCGAAATCGAACGCCTGCGGGGCAGCTCGCCCCGCAGTCGCTCCAGCTCGTCCGCCTTCTCGCACCGCAGACGCTCGAGCTCGGCGTCGCGCTCAGCCAGGCGCTGCTCGTGTTCGCCCTGCAGACGCGCGATCTCGCCCTTATTCCCCTCGGCCTCATCGGCCTTGGCGGCGAGATCGCCCCGCAGTCGCTCCAGTTCGGCGTCGCGCTCGGTTAGGCGCTGCTCGTGTTCGCCCTGCAGACGCGCAATCTCGCCCTTGTTTCCCTCGGCCTCGTCGGCCTTGGCGGCGAGCTCGCCCCGCAGGCGCTCGACCTCGCCCTCCCGCTCGGCCGCGTGCGTCTGGGCCTCGGAGGCCTCGGCGGCCTTGGCCTCGAGCTCGGAGGCCCAGCTGGCCCAACGTGCGGCCGACGCCGAGCATCAGGCTCAGAGCGCCGAGGAGGCGGCCAAGCTGAGCGAGGCCACGATCGGGCAGCTGCAGGCCCGGCTCGACGCGCTCGCGGCCGAGCGCCAGGGCGAGGCCGAAGACCTGCGGGCGCAGGTTGAGGCCGGCGAGACCCGGCTCGCCCAGCTGCAGCAGGAACGCGACGCACTCGAGGGCGAGCTCGACGCGGCGCGGCGCGACCGCGAGGAGGCGGAGCGCGCGCTGGAGAATGTGAGGAATGAAAAGAATGCCAGCCAGGCCGAGCTGGAGCGAACGGGCGAGGAGCGCGCCGAGCGCGAGCGCCAGGCGCACGAACAGAACGAGCGGCTCGAGCTGGAGCTGGCCGCGGCGCGCGGGGAGACCGAGGCGGCCCTCGCGCGCGTGCACGAGCTCGAACAGCTGCGCGCGGGCGACGAGCAGGCCGTGGCCGAGCTCAAGGAGGCCAAGGAGAAGAACGAAGTCGAGCTGGAGCTCCTTCGCATCGCTTCGCACTCCAAGGACGACAAGATAAGGTACCTTTAGCCCCAGTTTTGCATGGATTGCTAAGAATGTCTGCGTGCGTGCGCACACATTCCACACATTCTGACAAACGCTGGGGGGTTACAGCGCTTTGGAGGGCGAGCTGGCGCAGGGCCGCGAGGCGCTCGAGGCCAAGGAGGCCGAGCTGCAGGCCGAGAGGGACGAGCGCGGGCGCGAGCGGGCCGACGACGCGACTCGGCTGGCCGGGCTCCAGGCCGACCTGGCCGCCCGGGAGGCCCAGCTCGCCGCGCTCGAACGGGAGAAGGCGGCGGAGGCCGAGACCCGCGCACAGAGCGAGCACGAATTGCGTGCGATGCGGGAGCAGGCCGACGACAAGCAACGCGCGATCGAGCAGCGCGACGCCGAGAAGGCCGCGCTCGAGGCCGACGCCCAGTCGCTCCGCGATGAGCTCCAGCGCCGGCAGGAGGCCTGGCAGCAGCGCGAGGCCGAGCTTGCCGGCGATGTGGCGCGCGAGCGACAGGCCCGCGAGGAGCGCGAGGCCGAGATCGAGCGGCTGCAGGCGCAGATCGCCGAGCGCGAGCGCGAAGCCGAGGAGAGCCGAGTGGCGACGGAGGCCCTGCGGGAGGAGTTGCGGGAGCTCGAGGCCCAGAAGGCCGACGTCGAGCGCGAGGTGGCCGAACGGGACAACGTCATTCGAGTGCGCGAACAGAAGCTCGAGGAGAAGGAGAACGAGGTCAAGGAGGCCAAGGAGGAGATCGAGGACATGAAGATCTCTCTCGACGTTCGGTACGCACCCATACCACCGCACACGCCATCGCACACGCCATCGCACACGCAGAGCTAACGATGCGGCGGGGTGGGTGTACAGGTCGCAAGAAGTGGACATTGTGAGACGGAAGATCAAGGAGATCGAGGAGCGGAAAACGGCGGAGGGCCTCGAACTCAAGCGACAGATCGAGAAGCTCGAGCAGCAGCACGAGGCATGACCCCTCTTCGCTCTTCGTTCGCGTTTCGCTTTCTCTCTTTTTAATTTACGTGGGCTGGGCTGTGTTGTGGAGCAGGAGAGCGGTAAGTTCCTGCAGGAGATGGAGAAGAAGAAGGACGAGGAGATCAACGAGAAGCTGGGCGAGATACAGCGACTCGAGGGCATCATCGAGGTACTGCTAGCACCGCACGCAACACGACACACACTCACCGCACACGCGACACACAACACAACACGCACTTACCGTCCCACACAACAGGGGGTGAAAATGGAGAATGCGACGCTCAAGATGTCGCATCAGCGGATGATCGAGGAGGTGGAGGCGCTCTCGCGTCAGCTGCCCGTCAACCGGGGTGCTATCCGCACGCTGGTGTACTCCCCGGCGCCCGCCTCGCCTTCGACCGCGTCGGCGTCAAGTTCGTCGTCCTCGTCGCCCTACGCCTCGCCCGCGGCGGCCCGAGGCCGCGGTGGTGCGGGCGTGCGCGGCGGCAGAGGCGGAGGCGACCCCACAGCCTCGCCCATGCGGCCAGGCAGACCCAACTAAAAAGAACCAAACGAACAAAAAGTGTTTTGTTTTTGTGAATTTTCAACACGTTGCTGTTTTTTTATTTAATGGTGTGCACGCTCGCCATTGGCCTCTAACACTACGACCTCCGGCCTTGGGGTTCCACCGTTACTCTGATTCACAGGGAGATCGGAGCATTGTGTCAGGCCAACCACACCACCTGTACCAGTTTGTCGCAGGTTACGCTGGCATTGGGTAAGTCCATCACTTCCAAGTTGTTTCCGCCATTTTGCCTGACCAGGTAAACTGCGCCACCTGTTTATTCAGCCGCATCGATCCGCACACGCACGCCACACGCATGCTTGCCGGCGGGCAAGAAACGATGGTGGTGGTGCCATTCGTGATGGTTGCGCAACTGATGATGAACAGGACGCTTGCTCTTTTACACTCTTTCTCAACGCGTACCCTTGTGCGGCTAGGCGCAGAACTGCTTTTCTACGTCATTCAGGCCCATTGAGGTGGCACGGCCTGCCCAGCCAGGTCATTGTGTGGAGTTGAGATGTGTTGAGTGGGTGGAAGAGGAGGGGGTAGTAGTGGGTTTCAGGGTTCAGTTGGTGGCGGTGCCAGCACGGGGCGCGGCGTGCCGATGTCGCACCGAGCGCTGCACCGTTTGGCTGCGCTGAATGATGCCGGCCGTGTGGCGTTGACGGCTCGTCGATCACAAAGCACCTCGTGGCCGGCGCATGCGCAACCGGCGTGGGAGCGCAGGCCACGAGGTGTGTTTGGGCTGCGGCCGAGATGGGCCGCTGGGCCGTGGCGCGGCCAGCGCCATGCGTTGCTGTTCAAATAGGCGTGGAAGGGCAAGCGCCTAGTTTTTTTGGTGCTTTGTTGGTTGCGAGCGGGGCTTTGAGCGAGGTGCTTGGCCCAGAAGCGTTTTGTCTGCCTTCATTTCAGCCTGACCGAGCGTTGTGGAAGGACGATCGGCCTTGAAATCTGGCGCGCCGCTGCGACACTTTTGGGTACGGTCCGCACTTTCTCACCGACAAATCACATCGCAAAGCTCGCGGCCGCTTGCCGTCGCACAGATGCGAGTGCCATCGGGCGCCGGCGTGTTCGATGAGGTGGCGCAGGCCGACCAAATTATTAAGCTGCGGGCGCACAGTCACGTTATCTTTTCGACACACCGACGGGCTCGGTAGGCTTATTTCCCACGGCATCAGGTTGCTCCTGTCGCTTTTGCGGTCTCGTCGAGCCACCGCAGAACTCTCATGTTGCCCCCTATGCACGCGGCCCGCGTCGCCAGCGAATCGCAAGGGCAGCCGCGCTCGGTATCCACGCCAAGAGTGTTGAGGTATCACGCAGTTGATGTGTGGAAGAAGAAGTCTCTCGAAGAGACATCGTGTATTGTAAGAATGGCGGGTCGTCCCGCCATGCAGTAGGCCATGGGCGCCGTTTTCTTCATCGGCCTTTTGCGGCGCCGCCAGGTCCGACGAGTCTCTTGCGTTGCGCCGGCTGTATGAGCGCGGCGCGCCTTGGGATCGACGGACGACCTCGAGTGGGTCGTCGCCAAAGCCTGTCCGTGGGATAGTGAAAAGTGTTTGGCCAATGCTCGCACCCAGGGCCACGCTTCGTTGGCCGTATGGGTCACGCCCATGTCCCTCGAATATTGGGAATATTTCATGATTTTTCTTGTCTTCTGCCTTAATTTCCTTTTCTATTGTGGTCTACTTTTTCTTTTTCAGCCTCGGCAGATGGAAGGCATGAAGGCAAAGGATGGTTTGGAACTGAGCGAGGAGCTGCAGAGAGGCATCGCAGCATATGGGGTTCCAGAACACGAGCTTACGTTCCTCCAGCGGCGCGCCATTGCTCGGCTGGCGGAGGGGAAGGACGTGGTGGTCCACGCCGGAGGGGGGCGAGGCAAGACCATCGCCATGGTGGTGGGCATCCTCCAGCGAATAGCGGCGCAGGGCAAGGACTCCGTTCAGGTCCTGCTGGTCCTTCCAACACGCGAGCTGGCGCAGGGGACCGACCACATCGTCCGGTCGCTGGGTGCCCACATGGACATCAGGACGCAGCTCATAGTCGGAGGGGTCCAACAGGCCAGGAACTACAAGCAAATGCTGCGCGAGTTGGCCAGCGTTCAGGTCGTGGTCAGCACGCCTGGCCGCATGTTAGACGCCATCATACGCGGTGGCATGGACCCGGAGCAGGTCCGGATGCTGGTGTTGGACGAGGCCGACGAGACGATGTCCCGCGGTTTCGAGGAAGTGGTCGATGACATGATCAAGGTCCTCCCACGCGACATACAGATCGCCATGTTTACGTGCACCATGCATCCCGAGTGCACGCGTGTGGCGCAGGAATACATGTCCCAGCACGTGTACATACAACATAAACCTGTGCAGTCATGAATCCCCGCTCTCCAGAACACACTAGCTCGTGTAGGCCAGCATCGTGCAACTCACTCCCTGGTCTCGGGCTGCGACTCGCCCAGGAGCGCCGACGAAAAGAAGCCAAAGGCCGACACGCGGTAGCTGGCGGCCGACCACGCGGTGCGTGACGGCAAACGCGCTAAAGTTGCCCACGCCAAAGGCTTCGGGCCCGCACGATACAAAGGCGCAGCCGTGCTTATGGCGCGGCTCGGGCACCCACATGTTGACGCGCAGACAGCCCTCGGCCATGACCAGCGGGTCCGAGGACGCGGGCGCCTGCGGGCACATCGGGCCATAGGCCGAGGCGTCGAGCGGGGCGGTCCAAGTGCGGGCCAGAGGCACGGGCGCCTTCTAGCGCAGGGCGCCAGCGGCTCGGCAAAGGGGATGCCCTTGTACACGACTGTGGGTTCGCCGTCTACGTGGTGCAGGGCGCGCACGGGCCGTTGGCCGTACCGGTACAACCTGGCGCTCTACAGCCAGCCGTTTCACGAGGCCTACCGCGCGGCGCAGCACAACGCATCCCGGCTGCCGCTGGGCGGCCGCGCCCTGCGCACGGGTGCCTTTGTGCTCAGGCACTGACTGGGATCATCCAAAGGCCCAAGCACCTTCATTTCCCCCAAGTTTTGTGTGCCGCAACTAAAACAAAGGCCTGTTGTTGGTGGGCCAGGGCAAGTGGTTGAGGTTGATGCCCAACACCTGGCAGTCGCGCCCGTACACCACCGGGTGCATCATGTGCGCATGCCTGGCGCAAACACAGCACACATTAGTCACAATCAGTCCAAGCCGATCCATCGGGATCACTGGAGGTGAACGCTTGTACCACACGAGGTCGATCTCGTAGGTGGGTCCCTCGTGGTGATCCTGCTGTGGCTGGAGATCCCCCAACGCGTGCTTGCAATCGGCGAGGAAGCGGGCGTAGCCTTCCACCCATTGACGCAGCGCGCACTCGTCCTCGCATAACTCCTCCGTCGTCTGCGTGTCCGCAGCAAAGGCGTCAACCGCGGTGTTGTGTGCGCAGGCTGATGCGAACGTACGTTCTTGGCAACGAAGGCGCGGAGGGAGGGCAACCACCGCGCGTCCTTCTCCACGTCGCTTGCCTGTACTGATATCTTCGCCACCACGGCCTGCCACGACGGAGCTTCTCGCCCACAGGGCAGCCTCACAGCCACGCCGTCAGCGTGCTGGGCCGGATCGGTCTGGGTAGTCTGACCGACAGTCGCGTAGGGGCCGGTTTCGCCGTAGTGGCGTGTCCACAGGCGCTCGGTCTCGGCCAACAGTGAGGCGGGCGCGCCACCGCTGCCGATTGGCTCGTCAATAAGCTCCGAGTGGTCCACCACATGTCCGAACAGGAGTTCCATTTCCTGCGCCAGTACATGAATGCGCAGCCAACGTGAGCGTTGAAGCCTTTGGAGGTATCGACAAGCGCATGTCCGCGGAGAGACGGCAAACCTGGCGGTACTGGGCTGGACGAATGAGGTGGGTCTTCCACAGGAGCTCAATGTCCGGCGGCGCGTACAGCCGACGATCAGGATAGAGGGCTGCCAGCCTCAGGAACTGCAGACCGCCAACACAAATCAATCTCAATTCTTTGCTGTGTGTCGTGTGTGTGTGTATGTGTGTGTGTCGTGTGTGTGTGTCGTGTGTTTGTGGTGGGGAGGGCACCTTGGCGTATCGAGGGAAGGCGCAGGCCAGCGAAGCTGAATCCTTGGTCAGCAGATCCGCGTGCTGCTGCTCGATCATGTCCTGACAAAGAAGCCTTTCAATAACAATAACTCAGCGGAGGGCGGTGGGCGGTTCTTTACCAGGAATCGAAGGTAGGATTTGGCCGCCGCAATGAGATCAACGCCGACCGTGCGCTCCACCCCGTCGATGCTCTGTTTGGGGGAGAAAGCGAGTTCGTCAATCACACGTTGATAGTGAATTGCATAGCGCGAGCTCAATTGCGCGAGCTCAATAGTTTGGTTTGGTAGTCTACCAGACGAGTTGTTCCCCGTTGCTTGCTCATCATGGGGACTGAGCCCGCGATTACGTCGTTGCCGCGCCTCTGCGGAACGCCCCTATTTTTAAGGAGAACCCAGTCAGTCCCCCGCACTCGCAACATCCAAAGCTGCCGGTGTGAGGGAAAGAGTGGGGCCGCGTACTGATCGGGCAGGCTGGCGAAGAGGCGCGAGACCACGTTCGGTGGTGGCGGCGCCATGATCGAGCAGCAACACGCGTTTTTCTCGCTGCACGCCGGGCGGCAGAGGGTTGAGGGCGACGAACAAGAAAGAGATAAAGAAAGAAAGAAGCTCGGGTGTGAGGGCCGATTCACGTACTGGGAGTACGGGACAATGCACACCCGGCTAAAGGTCTCCGGCTCTGGCTGAGAGGCGAGGTCCTCCGCCAGCCTGTTGAACAGGGCGTCGACACCTTCACCTGTCATTGCGCTCGTGCGCCAGTGCTGCACCTAAAAATGTGCGCGCCCATCATACCGGTTTGAATATGAGAATGGGCCACTTCGTGTCTTATGATGAACGGAAGCGGGTGTGATGTACGTTCTGAGCACACCACGCTTCGGCTTCTGTGACGGAAACCTGCGGTAGCATTGGTGCATGATTAGTACTTCGGGATCGCAACAAAGTAAGAAGCAACACACACCTGTTGGGCGTTGGCGGCCAGGTCGCACTTGGCAGCCACAACTCGGATGAACGGGATGCACGAAGGGTCGATCACGCTCCTAAAGTCTCCCAACCACTGCTCGAGACTGTCCCACCGTCGCACGAGCCACAAGACACAGCTTTCAGTCTCACGATCCTTTTTACATCTTCACCCACGCACACGAGTGTGGCGGTGAAGGTGGAGTTGGTACTCGGCAAAGGACTGGCGATTGGACACGTCATAGACCAGCAGGCAGCCCCGGGCGCCCCTATAGTAGAGCCTCGAGAGGGATTTGTACTTTTCCTGTCCCGCTGCACACGTGTAGAGAGTGCGGTCGTATGTGTGAGGTGAGTGCCGTGTGCGCGCTGGTGCGGCAATGGCGAGGAGCTGCAGCCACACACACGAACGTCGAGCTGCCAGGGCAGAGTGGGGGTAATGAGCACCGGTGTCCCATATCTCCAGCTGGACGCGCTCGCCAGAGGAAAGGGTCACCGTCTTGACTAGAAACGAGGCGTTGATGGTCGGGTTGCCATGATGCCGCACGTAGCCCTTGTCTGCCCGCTCCACCAGACACGACTTGCCCACTCTAAACATAATCAGAGCTTTCCCCCTGTAACAACCCAACCGCAACCCCCAGAGTTGCAGGACGGTACCCCAGATTGCCCAGCAGGACCACCTTGAAGCGGCGGGGTGGCCTGGCGCATGACGGTGCAGTGCCCTCCATCGTCTTGTCTTAGTTATGTTGTGCTCGTTCAAGACACAAGATGTTGTTTGTCACCACCAGCCAATGACCACAAATCAAAGCCATTCGAGGAATGTCGACGAGAAATGAGCACAGAAGTTGGCTGCATGCGGCGGAAGTGCTGTCGTCTGCTACATGAAGAGACACTTCTTTTGGTCTTTCTCGGCTGGGGGGAAACCAGTGGAAGTAAGTGCGGGAATATACCACTGCACTAGAGGCAGCGAGACGACGTACTAATGGGCGCGGACTTGATCAGCTCCAGCGACTCTGCACCGTCCCAAGCCAACACATCACTGCCGGGACGGTAGGTGGGAAAAAGATAGCTGTTTTCCACCTTTCACAAGACGGGAAAAACCACCAAAAGCCAGCACATTGAGGTCACCTTTTTCCACCTTGAGTAGGTCGAATGGTTGTATTGAAAAAGGTGGACAATTCCATCTTCACCTGTCCACCTCCTGTCCACCTCCTGTCCACCTCCTGTCCACCTTGCTAGTCGTCGTGCTGGTTGTGCTCCGCGCCGCTGGTCGCGCTGGTCGTGCTCCGCGCCGCTGGTCGTCGTGCTGGTGGCGCTAGTCGTCGTGCTGGTCGTGCTCCGCGCCGCCGATCGCGCTGGTCGTGCTCCACGCCACTGGTCGTGCGCCGCTCGCCGGTGTGGCCCACCTGTCGCCCAGGTGCCACCTAATGCGATGGTTATAGAGCAAGCCCGCATGTTGTTGCATGAGGTGGACGCGCTTGGCGACGGTCCATCCATTCCACCCAAAGGGAAGGTAGAACCATCGCTGGCTGAGCCGGAACTCAAGAAAGCCATCACTGACGCCGCGCAGATCGCCAAGCTCAAGCTCAACCCACGCCTTCACCACGTTGTCGCAGGCAATGCGAAGCAGACGAGATATCCTTCCGATCACAACACACTGCGTCTCAGACTCATCAAGGATGGCGTGTCATGAGTTGTCGATGATGAACCGTATCTACAATTAAATAAAGAATTAGTAATGAGAAGCAAAACACAACACTAGCACACTATCGTACATTTGGATAGTCTTTGGGAACACGCAAGGCGATCCCATCGCCTGGTCGCAGGAAGTGGCCATAGTAGTGGGCCGACTTGTGCGAGGTGATGTCATCCACTATCTGGACGCCCTCACCCAGCTCACAGCTGACTGCGTCGAAGAGGTTGCGCCTGCGGTCCCTCGTGATGCTGGTTGTTGTGCCACAAACACTGAGCATGTAGGGTTCCTTCCAGGACCCATCCACAGAGCTCACGCGGGGCAGCCCAGCGTATGCTCAGTGGCGAATGACAGCGTCCTTTTGGTGCGTCTTAACAACAAAACCAGAGGTTAGCAAACGTAAAAAACATGCAACAAAGCCGTACCTTCACAAGAATTGCACGTTCGGTGTTGATCTGGTTCGTCCTATGCGCGGTCATCTTCGCCGCGAGGTGCCGCTGCTCCCACAGGCACGTGTCCTGCACCCATGGGGGCCCAAGGAAGCAAATCAACTCCGGCCAGTGTTGCACGACCTCGAAGTTCAGAAATTTGAAGCTGAGTGGCTTCTCTCCACTCGTCGTCGTGTCGCTGGCCGCCGTCTCGGCCGTCCGCGACCGCTTCTTCGACCGCTTCTTCGACCGCGTCTTCTTCGAGCTCGTCGCTCGCTGCCGCTCGGCAACGCCGCCGTAGAACTTGACCATGAGATGTTTCCATCTCTTGGTCAGCTTCTCGAGCTTCTCGAGGTCGTTGGCGTCGAAGCTTTCCTGCTGCAGGAGGCGGACGATATCGACGTGGATTTGCCAGCACTCGCGCTCC